TCTCTCTCTCTCTCTCTCTCTCTCTCTCTCTCTCTCTCTCTCTCTCTCTCTCTCTCTTTTTCAAGCATACATTCTAAATCCAGTATGTCTCGAGTTCACTGTACCTTGTCCTCGTCCTGATGAAGTCTTTGATCGAATTCGAAGTCGATCCTTGCTATTAATTATTAATTCGATGTTATTTTCTATTTTTTAAAAAGAATGTTTCTTTATAATTGCCATTAATTGTTTAATGTTTAATTATTTTACAAATATCCAAGACTCAATTAGTTCTTACGTCATAACATTACAGCTTATTCTATAGGACTCATACATTTTTTTATTAAAAAAAAGTAATTTTTATATTGCAAATACATAAATTTCTAGTTTATTATCAATGTCAAAATTGCTAATGAAAAATTTGCAAAAGTTACAAAATTGCAAAAAACCGGAACTGCTAATTTTTATGAAGAATTAATTAGAAATCACATGTTTATGTAATATAGCATGATTTTCTAATGCCCTTCTCACCAGAAAATCGTTAAATAAATTACAATTCGTGCATGGTATGCATTCATGCGGATATAACATATAAACAAAGAACTCCAAGAATGTATACCGCGTATTGCATTAACATATTGGTCAGTATATTGATTGGCTATTTTATAAATGTAGTGCCTTTACTAGCAGGCATTTCATTTATAAAATGTAATCTATTGATCAATTTTATATATGTAATGCCTGTTAGAAAGGGCATTACATTTATAAAATAACTCTACACATTGATCAATATATTGATGCAACACGCGATGGTACATGCGATATTAAAAAAAATTTGTTATTAATTATAAAATTTGTTTTTAATTATATTTTAATTCAATAAAATTTTACTTACATAATCAACCAATAATTCAAAAATTTATTTTAAAACTTATTAAATCATTCCATGCGTAAATACAGAGTGCGCAAAATTCGCAATCAATCGTCCAAAGAGAGAGAGCAAAAAGTTGTTTACTTTAAAAAAATAATATTATTTCAAATAGCAATTTGAAACTACTTGGTAACCATTTATTACAATGTCACAAAAGGATTTGTCATGTTAACATTGTCATGTTAACATAACAATTGCGGTGCATATGCAATTAATTGTACACATCATGTATAATAAAAAGCGTGTTATACATAATAATGATATAATTTATACAATATTTTTCCGGGATATTTTAAAAATAAATTGTTAAAATCCAATTTATTCTACCACGATTTTCAATTAATTACTTTTAAGCATTTAACTAATTTAATGTTTGTGTAAAAAAATTATGTAAAAAAACGTATATATATCTGTTTCATTCCTATTAATTTTTATTTTAACTAAAATTCCACGACTTATACATTCTTAAACTCAATACTTAATAAACGCATACTTAATTAGATTTCAAGTATATTTTATATTGAATAAAAAATAATTTTAACTATTTTATTCAAACTTATATAACAATTTGTATTTTATGAAGTATAGAGTATGATTTCTTCATAATTATATAATTTATTTTAACTCTAACAAATATTTCTAATTACAACTACATAATCAATGCGATATTTGTAATAAGAATCACCAACGACAGAGAAATTACTGAAATAAGTCAAGGCATGTAAACGTTTCTTCAGTTGGTGCAAACATTATACGTTGTGCGACAAATCTTTCATTTAACACAAGTGCGGAATATGAAACTCAAGAAAGATATATATACAGTATGTTACCTAACATAGCTTCTCTCAACTTTGACAAATTAAACTTTTATTACATGCAAGTAAAAAAAGACCACAAAATGTTGTTTATGGATTTAATCAGTCAGAAAATATCTACTATTTTATTTAAATAAACATTAAATTGAAATAAAAGAAAAAAAATCAAATAAAAATAGAAAGATAAAAAGAACCGTAAAATTCTGAAATTTATAGTATTTATAGTATTTATAGCATTTAAATTATACACTAATATTAAAATCATTAAAAGAATCTAAATAGATTTACATTTAATTGTAAAATTGTATTATAGAATTCAAGAAAAACGATTTCAATATTTTCAATTAGACTCTACGTACATTATATATTTGTAAATAATTTAATAAATAAAACATTTAAATCTTCTATAGATTCTATACCTAACCAACAATTACATCTAACAATGAAAAAAAACTGTTTCTATTAATTAGAAAAATTTTTTTGTTTTATATTAAATATATTATATCAAAACTTTACATTCTCATTATGTGAATTTTAGTCACTCTCATGTGATAAATATAATGTATAATTATTATACATATCGTTAATAATGTAAAGAAAAATGTATTTAATCCGCATTAATTTATACTTACAGTCTCGTATAATTTTAAATAATCTGCAGAATATAATGATTTCCTCCGCAGCAATAGTAAGTTCCATTAGAAACATCAACGATCGATGCATTTGTGTAAACAAACAAAGTAACGTAATTATTTCGTCGAAGTGACGTAAATGCATTTGTTACGAAATACATATCGTTTTATCGTCAAGCAATTAAGACTAGTCTTACTTAAGCGACATCGTGAATTACACGTCACAGAGAAGTGGGAAACGAGTCCTTTAATCCGTCAATCGAAAATCGATTAATTAAGATCGGGATATCGACTCAGTAGTAAGTACCTAATAATCCTATAAATTACCAGAGGCGAATAATTGAGTTAGGCGAACGAGCGTCCCTAATTGATTGAAGTCATCCGCCAGCGACGCCGGCGACGGCTCGTAGCGCGCGATTTGTCACACACGAGACCCGCGTTATTGAATCTTCCATGTACCAACGCGCGCTGACAATATAAGTGCAAAAGTGAATTAACCCAGAACTCCACTTTCACAATCGTATCATATCTCGGACGCAAAGCTACGAACTTTGTCAAGATGCGTTTCACCCGCGCAAATGCGTGTGAGAACAACAAATACAGAATCATATTCACGCATGTTTATTGTATTATTCTTAATTTTTATTGATATTCGTAAAATTGCTTTAATAAGTCTCTTTTCAAATGTTTACTTTAATAAAATAATGCCATTGATGCCATTTTCAATTTTGCAGCATGTTTATCTTTGTTTATAGTAACCAAAGGTATCCTATTACATTTAACTGTCTCGAACAAATCGTTATTATGACGAGGAGTATATCTCACTTAAAATCGTGGAAGAAAGATACAGGAATCGCCTTTGGTATTAGCACAATACCATTTTTCACGTCGTTTTAGCGACGTTCTTTATCACAACGCGGCGTCGCCATAAGTCAAAGCGAGCGAGCTTCGCTATTCCATTAGCCGCAAAGACTCTTCTTATCAGCTCGTCGTGTTTCGGCGATCGAATTTCCGAGAGGTTGGCGCATCAAATTTCTTTTTCCCGCGAAGCTCTTGAGATTCGAATACGGGTGAATCGAAAATCCCAGAGCATGCCGGTAATCTTACACCGTGAACGAAGACATGGTCCATCTGTGCCATGACAGAGGCTTAGGTTACTTTTCATTGTGGTGTGCCCTTATGGAACGAGACACCGATATCCACTATTGTAATCGAACATGCCGTGTACGCAACGTATACGAAACCTGCGTACAGATTGTTCTTTAGCGAACCCAAAAATTTCTTAAGGCTTCTTCCGCCCGGATGCACTTCCTTCACATTTCCTCTCCGCGGCCTTACAGAATGTTCGGTAATAGATAATACAGCGATATTTGAAAGTTAAAATAATTTTCTTTTCAAAAGGATGGATGGTTTCTGAGTACAATCGATTTAGAAAGAAATTTTCGCGAGTTGCAAGTCAGAGACGTTTAAAAAAAATCTTGACATTTAACTAATCTTATGGCAATCTTTACTATAATTAAATATTGACTTAAGAGGCATAGTTATAATATAAAATTTATAATGTAAAAATTACAATAACAAATTAAGAAATATCTTGTCTTTTTTTAATGTACATGCGTATCTCTGTACATAAAATTATATATTAATTATTTTATCTGCTAAAACATACGATGATTACGTTTCTCCAATCTATCCTAAACTCAAGAACTGCTAATTACAATTTAATATCACTGACCCTGACCTGGAACAAAATAAAAAGCAGATCGATTTTTCTATCTACTGAACACAAAAATTATCATAGTGTATCATCATAACATCGTCGATATTCAGCGATGAAATCATGAAACTAACATGAGGAAGATCAGTTATTTATTACAATAACAAATCACTTTGCTGAATAACTGCTAAATCATATAGATAAATACGAGTCGAATAGGCAACTCAAGAAGGAATAACGAGATGTTTGCTTCTGAACAATTCGCTATATATATTACAAATAAATGCGTTCTTATTCAATACAATTTTAATATAATATTAAACTAGATTAAATGATAATTGATTCTTTACTTGACATATTATTATCGTAAAAACAATATTTCATTGTCAGATTATGATTATTGCTTCGTTAAAACACATCGAGTTCAACGTCACGGGTAAAACTGTTAATAACCGGAAGTTTTGCATATCATTGCACTAGCATATTACGATGCGGTTTAAACGAGATTCTCTTGCGGTACCGCAATTAAATACATGGATAATCACCGCAAGTCGTGTCGCCGAGATTTGTTTCAAATATGTACGCAAATGAATGCACGTGTCACGTTTGCAAAAATCGCGAAATCTCGCAAAAGCAGTGGTCCAAAGTAAACATTCAACCATCGGCGCCGAATACGCAATACGCATATTTGCTCATTGACTGTGGCTGCATACCCGGTGCATTCACCCTATATCTATTCTGCCATTATCCACTTGGATCCCGCCGCCCACCCCTGCGGTTCTACTTCCGCCCGTCGCATATACTCGTAAAATAAATCGTATAATCGGATAACGAGAGCTGCCTCTTCGCAGCTCAAGCGAATAACTCGCGATAACTCGATCTTGGCGCGAATCGTCTTGTTCGAGCCAACATATATCGATCTATCTATATCAATATCATCGGAATTACACCACCCGTTGCGAGAAAATCGTCCCGCTATTTACGGCAAAATTTATACTGAATAACGGTACTGCGAAGAATTATAACACTTGATAACTGTATTCGAAAAAGATGGAATAAAGATTATATATAATTTGTTCGAATTATCTCTTCATGTTGTTAATTAACTGAATTAAAAAGTTTAAGCGATTTTGTTCAGATTTAAATATCTTATTTAATTACATCTTTCATAATCTTCTGTTTTAATAAAAGTTTTATATGTTATATAAAAATAAAATTTTGATTCACTTAAATATATTATTATTATATATCCAAAGATGGGAACTTTTGCTGTTATTTTCTATAATAACTTGGCAATGATGCAGTTTGTTTGTAATGATAATAATAACTAACTAAAAGCTGAGATTGGAGAAGTCACTTTTGAAGTGTAACTTGTCATCACTGCGCATTGTTTATTAATAAAAGTAACTCATTTTTTTTAATGTGTCAATTTGGTATAAATAATGAATTATTTTTTTTAATAAACGACGTTTGACAAGTTACCTTTTAAAATTTTTAAATTTACCTTTTAAAAATGACCTTTCCTCAACTTTGCTCTTAATTAATTATCGTTATCATCATAAAAATTGCAACGTCATTATCGAATCGTTATTATAAAAAGTAACGACGTTATTTACTTTCCATTCCTGTATCTATTTGTGCCATTAATGCTTGTTTCCTAAATATCTTCAAGTTTTCATTTATTTAAAATTATCAATATTTTGTAATTTTTGTTAATAAAAACTGTTGATTCTAAAATTCAAATTTTACATAC